ATACAGAAACATATTTCATGAGCCAAAACTATTAGACAAGGAAACCCTACGCATTAATTAGGAAACTGAAGAGAGTTTTATCGAAAAAGCCTCCAATCCCGAAGCTGGATCATCTTATTTAATACTAAACACAGATATTATATTGTTAAAATGCTAGATAATATAAGAATGTAATATTAATGTACTGTACATTACATAGTTGTAATAGGATAGAGATAAGAGATTTCCTGTTTTCATTTCGTGTTTTATTCAAATTAAAATTTGGTCATTGAATCATTAAATAATATCTCGTTGTTTATTTCACAAAAACTTAAACACTTAATATTTGAGTTGACATTAGCATGCACAAAATTACCTTATAAATTTTGAAACAGTGAAATGTTACTGGCATTTATTAAAATAATTAAAACATCAGAGCGACAAAAAAGCTTGCAATCCATCCAATGAATTGAAGCCATCCTAAAATAAAATTGACCACACGTACCGTAACGAGCGGTTAACTTTAATAACACTGTAACGCCATCGATATAAAAACGAATATTTATAATTAGATTACGTAAAACTTATGGAATACTTCGTAAATGGTACTTATATACTATCCAATATCTACTTTCAAAACAATATTATTAGCGAAATACCAATTGTATTCAGTTCTCGAACTTCTGAATCGATCTAAGTGTTACATAATGAACAGGAAACAAATTAATTAGTTCACCATTTATACATTGAATGTTTGAAATATTTTTCACAGTTAATTCTTTTATTTTATCGAACAGTTTTCTTATAGTGATATATTTCTTAGAGTGTTATTGGGTATATGGATGATATGATATTTCTGTGACATTTTGAATATGTGACGCGAAGTGCTCAATGTGGTTTGTTTCCAGAACGTAAGTCATATCTAAAGTGATGTGGCTTGCTTATTATTTATTACTGATTTTAACACAAAGGAAAATATTACATAATATATTTTAATAGTTTATATTGAGCTACCGGTATAGACGGAAGATTTCAGGAAAAAAGATTTTTAGAGGAAAAGATAAAACATTCAACTAAAAGACAATATCAATACCCAACATCAACTGAAACTTAGGTTAAGCTACAACAACACTGATAATATAATCGAATATCGTACATATAAATATTATTTCAAAAATTCGTTTAGATGCGTGTTAATGATGGACACCATATTGTATATTTTTGTGTGCAAAGATATAAATTAAAATATTATTAGTAATGTATGCTAAAACATCTTAAAAACGGATAGCAAAGCTCTTAAGAGGAATTAAATCTTCCTACTTTTGTGAGAAATTATTTCATAGAGCACCATAGAGATAGAAATGAAGAAGGGTGATTATATAATTTAGCAATTTTTTTTCTATCATAATAGCTGTTAATTCATTTTTATTTAAGACTGATGCATGGATCGAAAAATATTTTCTATATTAGACTCCCTAAGCTAAACATTGCAGACACAGTACAAACCGTTTTTACACCAAGTTTTGCTAGTTAATTTCCGTTCCGTTGTTTGTTCGTAAAATTAATGACAATACTAATACATTATATGGATTTGTGACAAAGCAAACACTGAACAGCCTGTAATACTATTTGTAACGCTTCAGAAAACTCTTGGATCTTATCACAATAGCATAAGTTCAAAAGTGTATTGTAAAAGTGTACAAAAGATTTTGTGCTAAAGTAGCGCATATTGTATACAATATTACGCGAATTATATAGAATAGATAGTATAAGAAATATCGTTTCGTTTTTATGTGTCGAGTAACGATAAATAAATATAAATTATTAATAAATATAAAGCAGAATCTATATTTGGCACACCATACTTTTGAAATAATTAGTTTCTTTATAAAAATAACTCTCACCGATATTTTTACATACTATGCATCAAACATAATCACACAGTACTAAAAACAGACCGGGAATTAATATTTTAGATTTGCAAACCTCATTGAAACAAATATACAAATATCGTGGAATGTTAATCTACAACCTATAATTAACTCATAATTGTTAGTACTTACGTGAATTTCTTACTTAAGAATAAAAATAATACACATAAAATCTTCATAATATATATACATATTTATTTTAAACATATAACTGAATATTTATCAATAAGCTGTTTGAGTGTAATTTAAATCATAATAAATACATTCTCATAAATAGCTACAGTTTGACGTGAGCTGCAATTATTTAAACATTAGTTAAAATGCACTATTTATTTTAAAGATATTAAGTTCAATTTCACACTCACTAACCTGAACTGGAATAATCGTAATAAGATTTTTTTATTCGAATAACTCGGAACAAATCTCGCTATCGGTTAAAATCCCTCGTTAAAGACTTAAAATATGATAGTTTTAAAGAAACAGGATAGTTGTGCTAAAGATATGTATAGACATTATATTTATTCTGCATGAGACCGAGGAAGGAACAACACTTATGTGATATTAATAAACACCTTTTTAAGGCACGAAGATTAGACTTTCCTCATTAACTGTTGAATTTGTAGGAAATAAAACTAACAAATCTGAAGTCTTCGCGTGAATTCTTCGGGGCATATTTTGTGTATAAAACTAATTGAGTATTTTCCCTCCTTCGTCGAATGCATTGACTAGTACTCCGATTCGATCAAAGCGTTAGTCCTCAATGCGAACGTTGCAATTATTTCTACTTGTTAAATGCAATTCGTGGAACGATTTTCAACGTACACACATATTTGTGCAAACTACACGACTTACTAAATACGTATCACGGGTATCGTACGCATCAGACAAAGCATCAAAATGTTTACACAAGATCCAAAACTATAAGAACAATCAATTGTAAACACGCACCCGCACATGAAAACACGCTAAAGGTTCAAAGAACCTTACAATATTTTAATAGAATAATAACTCATAACACATCACACACCAACTAAACTATGAGATTGCAGACGTAGAGAACAATACTGCCGCAAATCAGATCTATACGGAGACTTTCCACAGACGACGTAGGCGCTCGTCGATTCACTTTCACTGCTCCTTAGGAGATAATATCACAGATTCCTAAAAAATTAAAACTCAATGACATAGAGATCCACCTACCCGTCGAGATATTCGTTCGAGCGGAAGTTTGGGAGGGTTCCGCCGGTGGGATTAAATGGCGTATTAGGGCGACAACGGTGGCGGACGAAACGTACGTAGCACCGGGCAAGAAGGTAAGGGCGCGAAAAGTGCAGAAACATTTAGCCTTCCGGTGCACCGCCACATAGACGCTCCAGTTCCAGAAGTTCCTGAAACAGAATTATATACAGTTACGATGGCTGGTCAAAAGTTCGCGGAATGTAAGTTACAGAGCGGAGGATTTTTTTTAACTGTCACTACTTGGTGACTCAATACAACTATAAATACCAAGTTTCAGCCAGATGATCGGCTTATTAACCCTTGAAATATCACAGGACAAACAAGTCATTATTAGGAAGTGAGTACTAACAGTGGAGTAAAACAAGTTTTGTGCCGTGATTAAGTTCCTCACTAAACAAGGAAAAATGCCACATATCATTATGAAAGAGATATTATCTGTTTACGGGGACTCTTGCCCTGAAAAAGCGATATATACGTGGTATATAGCCTTTTCAAGCAAGGAAGAGACTCAATTTAGCGATCAACACTCAGGCCGACCGATTGAGGCAATTTCCTCATACATTATCGAAAAAGTTAAATAACTCGTATCTTCAAGAACAAGCCCGTCTGAATAATAAACAGATCGCAACAATGAATGAAGTAACATCTAAGATTGTTTTAAACATTCACCATAACTCGTGCTATAGTACGTTTCTAGGGCAGGCGGTAAAAAGTACATTGACCTCAAGTATTATGTTAGCATCGAAACAAAACGACAGTTATTGCTTCCATACATTTCTTTATAGATTACGTATCGTTATGCGCTAAGCGTGTCTCATGGTACGGTGTAGGGTGAAGGAAGAGGTCATTCAGAGATAATAAACCTGTTTCGACGCGATTTGCGATAGCTCTCACGCCGTGCGTATTTGAGAAAACGGATGGAGCAGAACTCATTCCTCATTCTGCTTTGGGATGCGCTTGCGTGTAGATAGTCTGAGATTTAAAATTTTCGGTTATAGTAGTTGTTTTAAGTTTTATTAAGTTTGTTTTGTTAGTTGTATTAACGTTTTGTATTAAAGTTTTTGTTATTGTTTTGTTATGTTTCGCATATGAATGACTTTGCGTCACCACGAAAGAAGCGGAATGTGTCGCATATTTCGGAAACCGAAAAAATAATGAATGTAAACATCTATAAATATGTAAAAGAAACGAGGTCTAGTGACGTATATCCTTCCAAAACGGATATGAAAAAGAATGCTGCCTGATATTTTAGGTTATAATCAATGTGACGGACTCTTCTAAGTCTTCATTATCATAAAATGATTCTGAAATAGATACAGATGAATAGTCTGTCAAGTGTCTCTGACAATCTATTATGATAAGATTTATGCATGCTTCAAGGTTGGCTGCTTAAGAATGCTTAGCATTAAAAGTTCGTCTTTTTACCTGACTGCCAAGAAGTGGTTATGTTTTATACAACTACCTACCTACCTACTTATTAAAGTACTTCCCTACTATTAACGTAATAATGAAAATTGTAATAACTCATGATTTATAAATAATAAACTTAAATTAATATTAATTTTATTTTTAATTCATTTAGGTACAGGATAATCTTCTTTCTTTATTATATAATAACAGACATAGGGCCTGTAAAAAACTTCGCACTCGGCACCCTTATCTTTATCTCTGATGATGCATGTAATGATAAAATGATAAAAAAATGAACCTAAACAAAAAAGATTGCCTACCCCGATGATATCGTCAAAGGTCAATGTACTTTTTTCCGCCTGCCCTAGAAACGTACTATAGTATAGTATATTTCATTTCGAGTGCGGAAAGCCGGTCATTGCAAAGAGTTCCGACAAATGTCTACCCGAGCCACTCGTGCGTGAGCGCCAGCTGCTCGCTGATCGCAGTACTCACCTGCTCACGGTGCTTGTGCAGCATGGCACGCAGGCACTCGTGCGTGAGCGCCAGCTGCTCGCTGCTCGCAGTACTCACCTGCTCACGGTGCTTGTGCAGCATGGCACGCAAACACTCGTGTGTGAGCGCCAGCTGCTCGCTGCTCGCAGTACTCACCTGCTCGCGGTGTTTGTGCAGCATGGCACGCAGGCACTCGTGTGTGAGCGCCAGCTGCTCGCTGCTCGCAGTACTCACCTGCTCGCGATGCTTGTGCTGCATGGCGCACAGGTGCTCATGCGTGAGCGCCAGCTACTCGCTGCTCGCAGTATTCACCTGCTTACGGTGCTTGTGCAGCATTGCACGCAGGCGCTCGTTCGTGAGCGCCAGCTTCTCGCTGCTCGCAGCACTCACCTGCTCGCGGTGCTTGTGCAGCATAGTGCGCAGGCGCTCATGCGTGAGAGCCAGCTGCTCACGGCGCCGCGCGTACGCCAGCTCTAGCCGCGAGCACTCCGCTACGCCGCGCTCCACCGACTGCGCACGCAAACGTCACACATGTAGATAAAGCCCTCTCGCAGACCTCCGACAATAACTTTGTTTTAGTCTACTGCCTGTGATAAAAACTTTTAAGATAGTGGCTTGGGTTTTTTCTCGCTCAAAGGCTAGATATAGCCATTTAACGAGAAAACGTAGCCAGCGTTCTTGGCACTATACAACGGACAGTTCGACTATATATCATCATCATCATCATCGCACCCCTTTACAAGGCCACTGCGGAATTAATGCCTCCCTAGGAATGCCACAACGCACGATCCTGTGCCACCTGCATCCACCGACTTCACGACCTGGTAAGACACTCATTACCAGGTCGTCACTCCATCTAATGGAGGGCCGTCCCAACCGGTACGAGGCTGTCCCTCTAGAACCTTTCGGCCCAGAGATTAGAACAGTATTGCGTATGAGGCCGAACTTGCGCTTTGTAAAGTTGCAAGCTATGTGCCGGCATGAAATTACTATCTCGCTCTGCTAAGTACGCCAAGTTTTTTAGAGGCCAATTTGACCTTTCTCTCCAAGTGACCACGAAACTGCACACTATTCGGTATGTCGACGCCGAAGATTCCGATGCTAGCTGAAGCAGCAAGAGGAATGCCTTCAAAATATTTTGAAGGCATTCCTCTTTGCGCGTAAATCGCTAAAAAGGGGTTCGTTTTAGCGATTTACGCGCAATGTTGTGTCTTCTGGAGATTGAAATGGACTAGATTTTGTCGCCCACCAATCCGAGACTTTGTTAAGCAGACTCGACTTCAGACACAAGTTTGTTCCGATATTCGGCGACGATTACCCGAGAAATAATAGTACGGTCAGTGTATAAAGCATCACCAGTGCTGTCGCCTGCATAGCAATGAATGTTACCAGTTTGCAACTCATCATTGATATGCATAAGAAACAGCGTTGGTGATAGCACGCAGCCTTGAACACCAGCGTTAATAGGCTTGTAATCAGAGCATGCACCGTCTACTACGAACTTGATGCTCTGATTAGCAAGAAAACTAGTGATCCAATGGCACAATTTCTCGGGAAGCTCATCAGCTGATCGACCACGACGAAAACCATATTGGCGGTCAGTCATCAGCTGATGATCCTCAAGGTACCTCATGAGCTGGCAGTTTAAAATAAACTCCATTATTATGACGTCCAACTACAGGCTTATCGCAGCCACGGAGGTGACGGCGATAAGCCTGTAGTTGGACAGGTCCGAGCGGTCGCCTTTTTAGGGATCGGGTGGACCAAATCTGTATTCCGAGAATTCGGGACCTATGCCTTGGGAGTAGGAGTACCGGAAAAGGCGCGTTAAAATCGGTGCCAACTCCGGAGCACACGTCTTCAGCACAATGGGAGGGAGTCCATCCGGCCCACTCGACTTACTGACGTCCAGGGAGAAGAGTGCTTTGCGAACCGAGCGCTGTGTAAACCGCACATCCGGCATGGAGAACTCACACCGCGAGATGGTGGGCGGTGTGTTCCCCAGTCATCGAGAGTCGAGTTGGACGCAAAGAGAGAGCCTAACAGATCGGCTTTCTCCTTTGCGGCATGGGCCAGTGAGTCGTCCTCTCTGTGCAGAGATGTAAGAGATGACTGACTGAAGTTCCCTAGGACTGCCTTGGCAAGAGACCAGAATGCACGGGTTCCCGAAGAAAAGCGAACTAGCTTCTAGCCAATTCTGCCGATGTGCTCAGACCTTGCCTTGGCAATTACTCTTTTGAAGGACCTGGAGGCGGAATTATAGTTCTTTTTAAGAGCGCTGGTGTTTACATCCGAGACGTTGATGCGTCAGCCCAGGCCCGTAGCACTCCTGCTTATAGCGTGATGCTATTATACAGGAGCGGCTAAGCCATGGCTGGGATCTGCCTCCGATGGGCACCACAGAGGACGAAATAAAAAGTTCCATACCCTGAAGTAACATATCAGCGACAAAATCAGCAACAACGCAAGGATCGTCCGGCGAGAAACAAACCCGCCCCCAAGGGTAGGATGCAAAAAAAGACCTCATCCCATCCCAATCGACCGACCTATAGTGCCAAGCACGGCGGCAGCCTGCAGAATGCAACCGCAACGTTAAAGTGACTAGCACCACACTCCGGACAAGACAATGGTTCGAGGAGCCTAGAGGGGCGTCGACGGAAACCCGATATCCGTCCAGATGAGAGGTCAGCAGAAGGTCCAATAGGGAAGGTGTATGATCTTCCACATCTGAAATCCGCGTAGGCGCAGTAACCAGTTGTGTCAGACCATATGCCAAAGCAGTCATAAACAGATCTCCAATGATAGGTTAAACGTGAACAACGTTATTGTCTAGAAACTTTTTAAACATTTATTTACATACATCATTGCCACAAGGTATGCGACCGAAGCATTTATTTCTTGGGAAAAGGGGAACAATGACTTTTTTATTTTTCATGGAAAATTGTCATGTTGTAAATATAATCGCCGGGTAGGCTGCTTTCTGTCTGTCGTTTTATTAATATAATGAAAAGACAAAATAAGAAAAAAATGACAGTCTTGTATATTTGACAGTGATGGTGGTGCTCAGTAAAAGATGCGCGGGATGTTGTGTTAAAAAGTTGTCGGAATGGCTTAGGTTCGGAATATCGAGTTCAGATTTACATACATACCTGTGAATGTATCTCTCTTTTAATTCTGAGTATTTCATCCTTGTCTCTGTTAGTCTTTTTGGCTAATGCCTTCACATCTTCTTTCCTCGAATTCGCAAGTTTATTTAGTATCTCCTTCTTTTCTGCTTCTAACATATCCTGGAATCAAATAACACAAAAACTGTAAGCATGAAATAGAAATACTTAAACTTGACTGCAATGTCAATATTTTGGAGTTTTGGAATTTGGACGAATTGGCGCTGATTCTGCCCTCTGTCGATTAATCTTAGCACTACGCATTATACGCGAATAAACTTTTCATCCAGAGCATGACGGATATTAGTATCGAATATTCTTTATAGGCAGAAATATATCGCTTAAAGAAAGTACTTTACACTTGATAAAAGTAAATAATCAAAAGAGTGACATGACTTATACTCGTATTTATAAAGAAGTAATTACTTGTTGCCAAGTAATTTCTTAGTCAAGTCATTACTTAAGGTTAGAATTCTTAATTACAAAATCTCATTCTATAGTTAAGTAACACACGTTACTTACTTGAGCAAATGCCCAAGTAACACTCTACGTTTGGTGGTTGTTTATGTGTTCATAAACATAGTTCTTCATTATTATGAACGATTCTTGACTTAATGTCAAAGGTTTCGAAATAACCAACAATTTTAAGGCATAAAATTCCGTATGTTAAAACTTACGAACGACGATTAACACGATTTTTATGACGCCGAAAATAAATATTCGTAAAAAATGTCGAAGTTAGATACCGTCTAAACTTTTAAAGTAAGACGGTTCATTTAGCAGAAATAACATAATCCCGAAAAAAGAGTTACATATATTCATGTAATCACTTGTCAGTTCTATAAAGGGAGATGAGTTGGAGATGTGAGGTGGCATGAAAGGGTTGTCACCCGGGCTTGCCTAGCTAAGATCTATTTGTCTATTGTGGCAACTTCGGTACCACATGAGCGCTTACTATGCGGTACAGGTTGTCAAAATCGTTATTTTAAAATTCAACTCTAAAGAAATAAACGTAAAAGTTTAAAAAAATTAATTCTTGTTTTCTGTTAAAAATAATTATTATTCGATAAAATTAAATGTGTTAAAGTAAATAGTGTAAAACTTACAACATAAATATAATGTTTGATTATTATACTTATTTGTTTAATTTCTGTTCTTATGATTATTTATTAGATATACCCTCGGCGTCACAAAAATCGCACCTCTTTAAATTTTTACTTTAAACTACTTTTAAATCCGTTTAATCAATGGTAAGTCTATGAGTATGTTACATCATTGGAAAGGTAATTAAATGTACTCGTTAGAAAAAAATAATTAATGGTTATCATGTGTTTTTACCGGGAAATAAAAAAAAGTTAATACTAACGAGAAGAAAATTACGATTTATTGCAATTTAAAAAATTAAATAAAAACATGTTTTAAAACGGCCTAAAACCCAGCACTACCACCCCTTGCCTTAATTACTGCTTCCGTACGGTCTTTCATTGATCTAATCAACGTAATAATGCGTTTTGGGGGAATTTTGATTACAAGTCCGTACTCGCTGCTTTACAGAGGTAAAGCATGATGATGACCATGAATACCCAGAGGTGCTCTATCGAGTTTATGTCTGGACTTTGCGCCAGCCACCTCATACCAGAGATCCCGACCTCTTACAGGTAATCATATACAACTAATGCAGTGTGGCATTAATGTAAATCCATCGATTTCCATTATGTATCGGTGAGCAGTCAGCGACACTTGACCACGAGCACCTCCATTCCGGGAAACACAGACAAGGCTGGTTTTGGCGTCGACTGATATGCCACCCAAGAACATGCATGAGCCACCCTTGAATCCAACTGTTTCTTCAATACAGGCTTGTGCAAATCGTTCCCCTTGCCTTCTGTATACTCTTCTGCGTTTATCATTGCAGAAAAGACATATTCTGTATACTCTTCTGCATTTATCATTGCAGAAAAGACATACTCTCATCTCATCCGAAAAAAGTACCATCCTCCATTGTTCGATCGTCCAATCAATATGATCGCGTGCAAATTACAATCGATCTCTACGATGCTGTGTGGTCAATTTTGGATCAGTTGCAGGCCTATGCGCTGCACTTTTCATTTCTCTTAACCGTCTTCTGATCGTAGACACGCTTACAGATGTTCTGCGAGCTGATCGTAACTGCTGTTGCAGTTAGTTCTACACCATTCGAGAATCTATTGCGTAAAGATGTCGATACAATGAATCGATCGTCTCTCTGAGATGTGCAGCGCTGTCGTCGAGATCCACACCTCCGAATATAGCCACCAGTGTCTTGGAACCGTTGGAATACTCGTCAAATGGAAAAACGGGATAGATTTAGTTGCCGAGTGACATCACACGGTCGCATCCCTGACTGCAGTAGCGCAATCACTTGAGCGGCTTCACCAGCAGTGGTATCCATGTTGTAGGGTTTTTAGCTTGCTTCAGAAGTTTACGTGTATCCTCTTAAACGTTTTGAAAGCGAACGACTCACATTTTACCTGTACCGGCCCTTTTATAGCACATAACGCACCGCAACTAGTGATCTTTATGACGCGTATTTTTGAAACAGTTTTTTCAACGTCTCGTACTCAGAAAATTAGTTAAAATTAATAATTAATTAAAATTATGAAACAAAATGGTTGTTAATTTAAAGGCTAATAAACGCATTGAATAAAACTATTATTTACGGATTTTAATTTTTTTTTTATTATCCCGACGTTTCGGGTGCTTTACGTCGGGATAATAAAAATAAATTAAAGTTGAATTAAACGCGATAAAATCCGTAATTAATAGTTTTAAGCAATGTGTAGTGTTCGCGTAAATTTAAGAAATCATTATGTTAATAAACTCACTTTCAGTTGATACCAATATTGATTTGATTAAATGTAAACACTGAGAGCCAGATACTCAAGTAAAATTTTTTCGAGGAGGTGCGATTTTTGTGACGCCGAGGGTATATATTTGAAAAAAAAATTCCAATTCTATCTCCTCTAATATAATATTATAATCTATATTGTCTACAACAGCAAAAACCGTTCCAATGCTATCCAAAGTTTTCATTTTTTATCCAAAATAACCTCAAAGTAGTGCTTAAGTAAAGGAAATGGTGACTATTACTTGGCTGAGTATTCTAACTTTTGACAGTTCTAACTTGGAGCAATTACTTAACTATCGAATACAAATCGTTACTTAAGTGATTACTTTTACTCAAGTAATTACTTTTACTTGTTTATAAATACGGGTGTTAGTGTGTCTTAGCGGTGGTGTTAGTAAGTGACTTAGCGGTCAGCCGCCGTAGAGTCAACATCACCTGAAGATGCCTCGTATAGAGGCGAAACACGTGTCGCATTGTCGTCGATGGTGTGTCATTCCTGGAATAGTGGTGTTGGGAGTAGTGGTGCCGGGAGTATGGGAGTAGTGGTGACGGGATTAGTGCACGCACTTGAGGGAGGGCGGGATTTGCTCTTCAATCCAGGTAAGACACATCATTGTAATTTTTGCTTCGCATTTCGCATTTCCGCAAAGTAACGCCTGATTCTATCAATTCTCTTAAAATTAGGTACGACATATTATTTTTATTTTTTTACGCTGCTTGTTTGTGAGAGCGTGGTTCTTCTTCGATCGAGCCGACCCATTCGTGTTGGAACCATAATATAGCTGCAGCGTGGCTCTACCACGTATGACATTTGTAAAATAAAGTTGCTTATAGTATAGTTGTAGTTGTGTTGTTTCAATAAGTACCTACATCAATCATCTATTTAAAAGTCAAAATGCGGTAATCACTGAAGGCTATGATGGAATGCCTCGTTACAAGTAAAAAGTATGAGAGAGAGAGAGAGAGAGAAAGAGAGAGAGAGAGAGAGAGAGAGAGAGAGAGATACACTAATCATACGAAACACAGCAGCATATACCGGTATTCTGTGACGTGGATAGTCCATTCCCGATCGAGCCGGTTCATTCAGGCTACTATCATAATATAGCTGCAGCATCTACTACGTATATATGGATCAACCGAATACATACGACTTTATATGGGTTTACTACGCTAGACCATAGACTGCCTCGTTGGTCTAGGGGTTGTAGTAGTGCGACTGCTGATTATGAGTTCCTAGGTTCAAATCCCGGGTCGGAGCAAAAATCAATTATTGAGTTTTTCTGTCAAGAAATTCTCAGTAGCTGCCCGGAGTCAGGAAGTTTGCAATATCTCACCCACGTGGCTCGGAAAGCACGTAAAGCCGTTGGTCCTGCGCCTTATCTCTCTCCGGTCGTGTCGGTTTACCGTCCCATCGGATTACGAGAGTGAGGGAATAGAGAGTGCACCTGTGCTTGCGCATACACTTGGGCACTATAATCCTGTCCTGCGCCGATGGCTAGCCTCCGTAAAGGCATGCCGCCGTGGCCGAAATCGGTCTGGAGGACATTACGCATAGTAAAATTAGGTATAGTAAGCTTGTGGGTGGTATTTACCGTGAGCGCTTTCATCTGGTGGCGTTGCTCGGCGCTGAGTATCTTGTCGAGCGTGGCGTAGATGGCGTGGTGGTAGCGCAGCCGCAGCTCGCGCTCCGCCGCCTCGCTGCTGTCCTCACCGCCCGAGCCCGCGCCCCCGCCGCCGCCCCCGCTTCCACTTCCGCTCCCGCTTCCGCTCCCACTGCCCGCCAACGCCAAGCCTGTTCCACTCGAGTTTGCATCGCCGCTACTGTGATCAATATACAATATTTTTTTTCAATTTAGGTTACAAGTAGTTCTTATTAAAAGCCATGCTCCTGAGAAGAACCAACAAGTAACTCAGCGAAACTATTTAATGTTGTGCAAAAAAAAGGAAATCGTTATGAATAAAAGTGACTTGATATTATTATTTTATTCTTCTTATTGTATCACATTCCTTATTTTGATAATCTATATTGACAGCGAACAGGTTCAATGATTTGACATTTCTATCGGAAACAGAATACAAAAATTTCTGGTATATCGAAAAATAACCTACTGAGTCCTTATCAATCTGGTTTTCGTTCCGGTCACAGCACCACCACTGCTTAGCTAAAAGTTACTAACGATATAAAACACGAAATGGCTTGATTCTGGTATGCCGCAAGGTGGAATTTTATCTCCCATATATTTTTTAGTTTTCAATAACTAAATATCCTCTCGTCATTGATTGTTCGTTCCATCAATATGCAGACGATCTCCAAATATATGTGCAGTCAGATATCGATAATCTACATGATGCTACCGGTAAATTTAAACTATAATTTGAAGGCATTTTTATAATTGGTCATCGCGTTATGGCATTTCTGTCAATCCATCTAAATGTTAAACAATGCTTATTCGCAGCTCAAGAATGCTAGCAAAAAATGACGTCAGTTGCTTGCCACCCATATACTATAATGATAATTTGATCCCGTTCTCGGACTGGGTTAAAACTTGGATTTATACATGGATAAAACGTTGAACTGGGGAAAAAGTGTCACTGAAGTCAGTCATAAAGTCACTTCTACCTTAAGATCGGTCTGAAAAACTTTTTCCCATGCAAAACTAAGCATATACTTGTCACAACTCATCTTGCCTGTCATTGATTATGCAGATGTTTGCTACTCAGACTTGAACCAAAATCTTCTCAATAAGCTTGAGCGCCTTCTTAATAACTACATATTCAGGTTTATTATTGGCCTTTGAAAGTATGACCTTAAATGGCTAACTATCCGAGAAAGGCGCACTTCGAGAATATTGTCTGTTTTCTACTCCATTTTGAATGAATTGTCCTCCCCTTCCTAAGAAGATTTCAGTTCCACTCCATTTTACTAGCTTTATCGGCAATTTGTTACTGTTCAGGCCTACAATACTCTGGAACTCCTTACCTGAGGACCCGTATTTGTTGGTATTTATATCTATATAAATTTATTATATTTAGTTATTTCACCACCAGTTTAGTCACCTGCCACTAATTACTCATGGGTTGACTGGCAAAGAATGCTAACTGGCATTAAGTCCGCAGTTTTATAATCTTTATGGTTAGTACAATAAAGTTTTTAAACAAATAAATGATGGTGACAAATGAGCACAGTCCTCCTAAATGTAAGTGAATATGCTGTGGCTAAATCTACATCTACCCTCAATCAAGAATCACAACGCAAATACGTTGTCACCTCTGAGGACTAAGATGGAAGGCCTCGTTTCTAGTAAAAAGGGAATCGGGTTCCCTACAGTCACCATTCAAAACACACCAGTGTTACTCTGCTATTATACGCTTAAATTCTCTGAAAGCGAGGTCCTTTCCCTGTCGAGTCGACTCATTCACACTACAACGTATAAAAATGGAATGCAAGCCTAAATGAAAAAGGAAGTTGATGTATGAACAACGAAGCATCTTACATGTTTCTAGAGGAGAGCCCCCTGCGGAAGAATTTAGACAAGGGACGGTCACGTTTGCGGCGCAGTAGCTCCAGCTTGCGCGCCAGTTCCGCTCGTTTGTCTCGCGCCGGCTTCGAATCCAGGAGCGCTGCCAACGCTGCGCCCAACGCCGCCTCTGATGATCCGTTGCTCTCCTTCTCCTTCTCCTCTGCAACGACAAGGAACACCAGCCTACTGGCGTGCTATTGCTTGTGCGATAACTTACACATATTTTACAAAATCACTGATTATAAATACATAAAATAGTCAGTTTCATTCATAGAATAAGGGTGGCAAACGAGAACACAGTCCACCTGATAATAAACGGATGCAGTTGCCCATAGACATTCAGAAGCGCTGCATGAGTTTAAGAAGAAATGCCTCGTTTCCAGTAAAAAAGATTTCCGGTTCTCGACTACGAAACACAGCAGCATTGAGCTGCTTGCTGCTTTCACGCTAGCATTCTATGAAGGCATGGCAGCATCAGCATCTTTTTCCAATCGAGATGATGAGCAGGACAGGAATAGTGCCCGAGTGCACAGTAATGCACAAGCTCAGGTGTTTTCTCTATTCCCTCACTCCCATAGCCCGATGGTACGGCAATCCGACAGGCTTACTTGCTTTTCGAGGCACGCGGTTTAAACATTACAAACAAACTTCCTGATTCCGGACTGCTATTGAGAATTTCTTAACAGAAAAACACAATAGCAGTTTTTACCCAACCCGGAGAATTCGAAACCGTGAACACATGATCAGCTGCCGCGTTAAGCCCTACAATTAACAAAATACTTAATTAACAACGAAAATCTTAAGAAGCCTCAAAGATATATTATCACTGCCAAGAGCTAGTATAGCCGAGCCGTGGTAGCTCCGATGGTTAGCGCTCGCTGTAAAATTTCACAGTACGCGAGTAAACCGGGTTCGATTCCCGCCGGCACCAATGAAATTGTTAATTGCAATTTTAAGTACTGATTTACCACTTGCTCGGCGGTGAAGGAAAACATCGTGAGGAAACCTGCATGTCTGAGAAATAAGAAAAAAAATTCGAAGACATGTGAAGTTCGCCAACACGCATTGGGGCAGCGCGGCGGACATTATCTTGCCCTAAAACCCTCGCAGAAATGAGGGAAGGCCTGTGCCCAGCAGTGGGACGTATATAGGCTGTAACTTTACTTTACAAGAGCTAGTATACGAATGATTTATGAGTCACAACTGCACGTTAATAAGGGAAGCGTGGGCATAGAGGTGGAGTCCGGGCGCCGAAACTGCATACCAGACATGCGCCTAATTGTTTTCGTGAAGTAGTAAAGTGTTGTACGATACAGCATACACATAAAAATTATAAAATACACATTATGTATTTGCAGGTGTGTTTTCAGTATATAAAGATAAATAAATAAATAATAATTGTAGATACTTAAAACGTACCTCTCGAAAACTTATCATCTAATGGCTGCGGCGCAGGAACAGAGGTAAGTGCGGGTGATGGCACCGTGGTATCCATGTCGAGGGACTTCCTCATATCGAGTCCCATTCCCACCTTATTTGGACTTGTGTCTAGTGTACCCTCCGGTTTGATCTACAAATAAATATACAAACTTTGAACAAATATTAGCAATAAAACCCAATTTACAAAAAAAAATTTCATTACAATCATGAACTTAACAGCCTATTTTAAATTTACAGTTGATGAGCACAGGGTCCACACTACTAGTTGCCAGTTAATAGTATAGCGTAAAACTTCGTCGCGACCTGAGGATCTGAGGGTAAGGGCACTATGGCATTTTAGCTGATAAAAGTCCAACATAAATACTACGTTCCTCCAACGGGTTTTCATAGAGAATTACCCCACGTCACTGACCTCTATTATACAAACTTGTATAAATAAAGCGTACTTGTACGCTGGACTGGCCTATACCCTACAAAAATTTTGTACCGATTTGAAGCGCCGCCATTGAACTAATCGGGAACTAAAACTGACATAATATTAAAATTATTAATATTTACGTTGCAACCATCCGCTAAATTAAATACAATGATGTGTCTTACCTAGTTTGAAGAGCACCTCCCGCCCTCCCTCAATTGCGTGCACTAATCCCGTCACCACTAATTCCAGCACCACTACTCCCAACACCACTATTCTAGGAAAGACACACCATCGACGATAATACGACACGTGTTTCGCCTCTACACGAGGCATCTTCAGGTGATGTAGACTCTACGGCGGCTGACCATAGCGTTTATGTAAATAATAGCTTTCCCCTTAACGGATTCCAGCCTTATCGTGGTGAGGGGGGGGGGCTCCGTAGCCATGGTTTGGTAACCCAACGTAAAAGTAGGAACACCCATTTGGCTGGCCTGAAGTGTTTGGCCCGAGGTAGTGTTGGCGAGCCCACTTAAGATGTGTGTTGGTGGCCTGAGACTAAAAAAGTCCTCCCCCTATATCGCTGCAGCCGAGGTGGAGTCACAAGGGACGAGGAGTGTTGGTATGTTTATATAAGTAAGTTTTTTTTTCTTACTATATCTTACTTACTACTCGTTCGCGGGAGATCCAATAGCTGGTACCCAGCGCATTGCTACCGCAGAAGAACCGGAGACCCTTTTTACTGGAAAAGAGGCATTCTATCTTAGTCCTCACGGGTGACAACCCATCTGCATTTTGATTCGTGATCGCGGATAGATGTAGATGTCTACGGGCCGCAGCAACCACTTACCATCAGGTGGACTGTGTGCTCGTTTGTGACCCTTATACTATTAAAAAAAAAAGAAATAATTGTGGAAATATCGTTTAAAATTTTGAAGAGTTGAATTGTTTAATTAGGAATGAATGAATACACTCATTGAAATTGTATGATCTATAACGTTCAAATAAATAATCACGCTACGATACGCGCGCCATCTAATGTAAGTTGATTGTACTATGCTTATAACCTTCAGGCAAGTGCAAGCAATAAGTTGACAAAAAACATAAAACACCAACAAACGAACATTAATTATTATATATGATAGTTTATTCGGTCTATAGACAGACCTGTTGATATTTAGCATATGCGTTACTTCAGCAGCTGATTTATTATCTATAATACTAGAATTGAATGAACGGTTGACAATTCTTTGCGAAGTTATGTTTTATTTTTATTTTGTATAGTTACTTCAGTTGAATATTTTCCAGTACTAATTGAATATTCGCGAAAGAACCAACATATCCAATGGTGAAACCTGGAACAAAATCCATTCTGTAGTTAAGATTAAAAACGTAGATAGAACAACGCAGTGACTATCTTGGTTTTATATGAGATATAAAGCTTGCGTCTAAGTCCTGGGTATTAATTGATAGGATTTATTTATTGTACGGTAGTATATCAATAGAATTTTTACCGATATATTTTGTCACACGGTCTTAACTCTATTATTAGTTCCGACGCCGCTCACTTCTGCTGTCAGCGCCAAAATAGCGAAAATTAAATCGCCTCATTATGCCACGGTTTATAGCCAGTCCATATAAAGAGGTCAGTGCCCACAGTAAAATACCACGATGACTTTTTTATACAAGTAAGCGTGATAAATGAACAGACAGTCAACCTGCTGGTAAGTGAACACTGTGACCTATAGACGGTCATTATCACATTTTCGGTTACAAGTTACATTATCGGTTACAAATCCAAATGCAGATGCGTTTTCTAAAAGGGTGTGGGCAATGTTTAGTTACGATATTTCAAAAAGCGATTCGTTTGTCACATTCCTGTAGCTTGGGCATGAAAAAGAAAAGTATAAAATAATATAGTGGTTTTACAAAATATGACGACTTAATATGGTTTAATTTTAAATGTAGGTTTGCCGCGTAGTGATGGCCTGAAGAATGTCCACTACCACGTATTGTACGGTGAGTGTCGTAAGGAGCGAAATTGAGAACGAACCAACTAGAAAATAAACAAACTGCGGTTTCCAGTCCGCCTATCGCAACGTGACTACAATAGCACACGAGAAAATCTAAGAGAAATGCCATGTTCTGCGATGGACATTGGTGAGTGAGTAATGAACGAATGAATGAATTTTTAGTCGTCATAGATTGCCAAATGAAAGTGTTGTTTCAAAAACAGTTTAACATTCACGTCATGTATAATAAAATGTTGTTTAAAAAATCCTGTGGATGGAGTTTTATTCACATCTCATTGGTTGGCAGTCCCACACGGTGCGTTTCACCGGAAATTTTCAGCCACCCAAACACAAAGTGGATTTTACTGTTATCAGCTGTTTTCTCGAACTGATATGACTTATGGAAGAGCTTTTTTAAAATGCTGGCAACGCTCTTACAATTCCTTTGGTGTTCCGAATTTTCATGGGTGACGGCAATCACTAATGTCCTGCAGACAGAATTTCAGTCGCGGCGTCAAACTGGTACTAGCCATCGGCGCAGGTCAGGATTATAGTGACCAAGTGTATGCACAAACACAGTTGCACTCTCTGTTCCTTCACTCTCATAGTCCAATGGGACGGTAATCCGACACGACCGGAGAGAGAGGTAAGGCGCAGGACCAATAACTTTACATGCTTTACTGAGAATTTCTTCACAAATAAACTTAATAACTGAGTTTAGACCCGCTATTTGAATCCGGGATCTCATGATCAGCAATTGCGTTTACTACCACTAGATCAAGGCAACGATCACTAGGTTTCGGGTGAGCCGTATGCGCATATCTACAGCCGTCCACAGCCGTGTATTTCATTTGAATACGTGTCCGTAACGAATCAGCTTTAAAATGGCGGCGAATCTCCTTCGCCGCGCGCAACCCGTCTCAGTCCTAACTCAATGTAAATAATTCTTTGATACTTTAGCTATTGAGTGGTGTAATTAAATATTGGATGTAGGTGATATATATGCAGCTGCAACGCTCTATATCGCTCGATTTTGTTATCGTCAGTTTTCTGAATCGCTTCTCACTATGGAAACAAGTTCAAAACCGTGTTCACGTTAAAAGTAAGATATAAGGGTGTGTACAGACCGATGCTGGTCGTCGCGGCGCGAGGTGCGGCGCGTCGTCGGGCGCGGGCGGCTCGTCCGTGTCGTCGGTGAGCACGGCCAGCTGGTGCTCGCGCTTGTCCAGCTCGCTCTGGTACTTAATCGGGTTGGCCAGCGCCTCCGCCAGCTCCGACAGCCGGTCCGGCACGTAGTCCTGCAACAAACACCACATATTTATCTCTCATTTTATATTACACTGTAGAAACGAAAAAGAAAATATTTCAAAATCATACACACCGAATGATGACCGTTTTTGAAATCGCTTACGACTTATAAAGTGAAATTAATAAAGTGACTTATAAGCTTATAAGTCATAAATTTGGAATTTAAAACTAGTGTTCTTTATCATAAACAAATAAATGATCTACACACAGTATAAAGTTTAAAAAATTCGCAACAAAGTATTCCGAGCAAACACCGTGTTTGTATATTTCTTAAGCGTAACGTAACGTTATAAAAAAACGTAGTCTATGACAATGCGGAGCTGTTACGATTCTTAAAAAAAGCTTGCATCATGACACTCGACACTTTAAAATCAGAAGTCGCAAAATAAGTTATTTATTTATGAAAAATATATACACAAATACAGAAATACAAACATACGTACGTACATATATAGTATATACACCCGAAAAACATAAACGTATTTCCTGGTCAGTCGAATAAAAAGTTCGAAAATAGGTTTATAGTGTTTTATCGCATTTGTTAGGAAATCACTTTTTAAAAAAGTTTGACATAATTATGCATTCTTTTGAATAGAATAGACGATAGAACATTTATTTTATCCATAAATAATAATGTATACGAGCACGCACCTTAACGACAACAAGCAACAATACGCTAGCTGGCAACGGCAGACCAAGCTCTGTGCGCAAATTGACATGGCGATATCCGGGCCGAAGTCCCAGCACGGGCAGCACGCGGTGACCCAGCAGCCGTCCACTCTCTTCGTGTGCGGCAATTCGAAGCATCGCCAGCTCGGGCAACACTACCTGGAAACAGAAACGGAGTTAAATATACGTTTTGCAAAGTCATTATATCCCCCAATAAATACAATGGTAAAAAAAATATTAATAGTGGTCGATTGGCCGCAGAAATGTAGGTATGTCACAATACACCACTGCCGCTCGACCGCCTTAAAAATGTATTCAACAAATATAAAACATATTACATCGATAAAGTATTTAATCAAAACACAAATAACATGGTGTTGACGACAAAGTTCATCTAGATTAATGGAATCCTCCGTCGAGTTTCCGCCTGACTTTTATAGCCGTAGTTTGATCAATCTCGGCGAATCAAAGGGAAACCTTAAAAGACCATGTCTTCATTAAGTCCGCCATATGTACTACTTTGTGTATGAAAGTATAAATAAATAAATAATTTATTTGAAAATTGTTTTTCAAAGGAAACTAAATTGTATACATAAAATTGTTCAGTAAATCATTGTTTATGAAAAAACAAAAGTAACGGGCTAGACCAGCAAATATACGTTCACGTAAATTTTAACAATAAAACACCCTAGTATACGAAATTAGTTTGTTTCTACCAATGTATCTAGTAGTTAGATTGGTAGACAGAAACTAATATCAAGAGAAGAGAATAAAGCTGAGAACTTGTCTGAGTCATAATCGCCACGTTTAGCAGTCAGTATCTCTTTTCACACCATTGCTTTTGCTAGCCATTGCCGGTCTGGATATTTTGATATTTCATACAATGTGAGGGCCGGCCCTACACACCTAGGATGAGGATGGAGTGACGACCTGGTTAGATTTAATGTGGTAATTATTTCGTTATCTATTATAAGGCACAAGATTTACAATTATTTTAATATTAATCGACACGCGCAACATTTTCATACGTCGAGTCGTACGTTTACGCTTATGCTGTGTCATGGCGATGAGAAAGAAAGAAACTAATTATTGTTCATGCAAACAACAGTTATATAAACGATACTAGCTAATACTCGCTCGCTTCGTTGGGCGAACGATAATCTGCGCCAAGTCGAGCAAAAAAGCGGCACGGCCGTACCATACTTTTCTCGAAGCAATTCAGGCCATTTTCGACCCCCTATAACTTCGTAGTGGATAAAAATAGAAGCCTGAATTTTCAGTAACCCAGTAGGCATTGTATAAACGTGGTATATTTCATATTTCATTCAATTTGAACCAGTAGTTTAAGAATTATAACTAGTCAAAGTTTCCTAATTTTGTCACTCACTGACTGGCCGATCACCAAAACTCTAAGGCACTTCTAGCAGACATAAAAGCTTCAAATTTAGAATACGATTAGAGTTTAGTGTATAAATCAAGGAAAAACTAAAATATTTTTTTTATTTCGGTCCGGTTTTCTAGATACACCAACTGCATAAATAACTTAATCTATTCTATCTGTAATCCCATATAAATATATAGAATTACAAAGTTACATTTGCGGTGAATGAATCGGTGTTCTTGTATATGTATAATAGGTATAGATAGGTACGTTGTTGGTATTCAAGAAGTAGAAGGTACCGGAAAGGAAAAGCAATATAAATAAGCAAAATCGTTTTCATGCGATGAACTAGTCAATCTATATATTTAAAACATAAAAGATTTTTTACATTGGTATGGTCACTATAAAATGTTGTTACTAGGTTAGCTAATTACATAATAACCTAAAACAGAAGGACCCTTAAGTAGGGACTGAATAAATTAACCGACTTGGTATTACTTGGATCTCACAACTTTATACGGTAGAAGAACTGAGTTGCAGCTTAGTTTTTTTCACAAGTAATGTTTTTGATGGCATATTTTATTGCGGAACCTAGATGTAAAATATCAATTTTTTGATGGGACTATCGTGAAATGCGTTCTGTGAGCTTCTACGTTGCGAAATTAGTAACTATACTAAATTTCACGTCAATAGGATGTATAGTTTTAAAGATAACGTGAGGAGTTGGTCAGTTAGTGGTATTTCACTTGTCTTATCTTCTTATATATAAAAATGAATTGCTATCCTTACTCTTGCTAAAACTAGAAAACGGGTCGAACGATTTTGGTGAATTTTTTGTGTGTTTTTGAGTAGGTTCCTTGATGGTTTAAAACTCAATTGAACCCAGCAGATGGGGCTGTTGTCGAGATCTAGAAATTACACGTGCAAAACCGGGGCAGATCGCTAGTATAGATTTGATAATTCACGATAGTGATTATAAATTTTATTTGTCTACCTGGGCAGATTTCTTCCAGTTGACCTAGTATTGTTTTCAAATTAGACTTTAGTAGACAGGTGCGTGTGCGTATGCGTGCTTGCATGCGTGTGTGTTTCAAATTTAATTTTTTCAATGTTTCACAATTTCAAAATTCACAAGAACAAACATCCAGACCCGGAACAATTATTTGTAGATCATACAAATACTTGTTCCGTGCTGGATTCGAACTAACTTTATACGCCTCCATAAAAGATTCATTTCGCCATCACGCTTTAGGTTGTTCTATCTTTTTTCAATCATATTCATGATGATAAAGGTTTATTACAAAAAGCGGGTAATCTGTGGCCCGACGCGATGGTGTTGAACGCGAACTTCTACTGCCACAGGTATTGACAGAAACACCACGTTTTAATGAAATATTAAATTAAATAAAAAGCTTGTCGTTATGGTGGACCCCTCCAGGCGTAATTTGTTTAAAACTTCTTTTTCATTGAAAATTTTATCAATTGAGACAGACCATTTACCAAGGGAGAATTTATAAACTGCGCTAAAATATCGATTAAGGGTACTCTTTATTTGGCCTATCTTTAATGTATCGCCAATTTGGTCGATAAACTTCACGTCTAGGGCGTCCCTTGTCAATTCTGATACACTACTGAAGCATATAATTTAATTTGTCACTGTTACCTCATACATTCTTTCTACGTTTACAAACCACCGAACCGAAGTATTCCTTTCTTAACCCTGGCCATAACATCTTGCAAATCAGCCTTTTCTCTTACAAATTTCTTATCCTATCTTTAAGAGTTACTCCCAATATACTTTATAATGACCACATTTCTACATCATTAATTCTCCTTTAATGCTTCTTCTGCCACACCCAACTCTTACAGTCATACTACATAAAGCTTGGCATAGCATACAACATAAATGGCTCCCTATACGTCAAAGGCGATTGCTCCAGAATTTTACTTGTGCTCGTACTTTATTCAATTTTAAAAGATTCGAGGTCGCTTTCCTTGTCCTAAAGATAACTTTCAGTTTCTTCATTAAATCACAATAATTGTCTTTGTGTACCCAAAGTTGACTGGTATAGAATGCCATAGGCCATAATAAGTCCGTCCTATATAACTAAGTTAATACATTTAATTTTTTTAAGAGTTAAAGTAAATAAATATAAGTAGGGACTAACACAGCATTGTAAATTGCCACATTGACACATTCTGACTTCTCATTCACTCTGTGACCTGCACTATGTCTACCATTCCTGCTAAACACACATCCAAAATACACAAACTCTTCCACTTGCTCAATCAACACCCCTTCTATTCTCATTTCACGTATTGTTTTACATTCTTTTCTAATATAATCACTTTCTTAACACTTTGCGTAGCTCTTATGGACGCCAAGCCAGTCCTTGTACATAGGTCCCGTTGATTCTGACACAAGTAAAAAAGTCCCTATAAGATATTTTAATGCCCGTGTCAGTCCAGCGCTTAATCCAAACTTAGCCTTCCGTGGTTGAATTTATGTAAAACCCTGTCAAATTCATGGCATCAATGTTGTTGATGGAAATGGGTAAAAGGGTTCTCTTATGCTGCTACAAGAGAACAAAATCATCAATGATAATTAATCAACAACCTAATCAACATTATATTGCTATAAATATTTTCCATTTATCAGCCATTTGAGTATATAATTTACTGATTAAGTAGAAGGCTTAATTAAGTGCGAACAAGTATCATTGATTGTTATTACTTTATTTTATTAATTACCTAATTGATGCGTCAACGTATCTTGTGGAAAACTTTCGCAATATACACTTTGAATGAATATCTTCCCCAGGGAATGGGTAAGTCAAAAATAATATTGACTGGTCGGTATTGATCGGATATATTTTTATAGAAGAGAGCAAATGAGGATGCGCCTCACCTGATGGTAATTGTCGAGGTAAAACCAGTAAGTAACACCAGGGGAATTGCAAGTGCGTTGCCGCAATTTAACACGAGCTAAACGAATGGTGGTTTTACACTATATAAAATAAAATATCACAAGCTCAAGAATAATCATTTAAGGTAGCACCTATAGCTGAAAAGCTAAACCGCGAGGGAAGAGGACGACCACGTGCCTGGTGATCAAACATGCAGAAAGAGATCCTGAGAGAAAACCTGAGTACACTGACAAGCCAGAGTAGACCTCTCTGGTCTGGCGCAATCGTACAAGGAGACCCGACCCCAGTTAAACTGGGAAGAGGGTTCGACAAAGAAGAAGAGAAGCTCAAGAATAAACAATTATTAGAATGTCGTCTAGTCACATTAAAAATATATTAATGTGACTATTTAGACGAGATTAGAGAGAGAGAGAGAGAGAGATTTAAGGGATTGATTTTTTTTCTCCAATTTATATGGGAGCGCTCTTGAGGTAAAACTGTTCACAAAAACACAAAAAATATCGTGTTAAATACATAAAAAAGAAAACACAGTTAAATTGAGAACCTTTACTATGAGCCCTCCTTTTTATGAAGTCGGCTAATAAGTTTTGCGATAACAAAAACACACATGCCCAATAATAAATGCTGAAGCAATTTATTTTTAAAAATACATGCGAGTCTTTACGAGCGCAAATTAACGGACGTTTCGAGATTGGCTATAAATTTAAGGCGTTAGTACGTTTTAATCTGCCAACACATAATGCTACAGATTTATGGTCGCTCGCATTTTAACAACCACATGCGGTTTTTATATGACCATCTCCTTATGTGCTATTTTGACAAAATTTTGGATATAGTAGACTTATAAAAGTGTAACTCAGATTGAAAACAAAGCATATTAGAATTAAATGTGAACGACTTTTTAGTCTATGACAGATGTAATTCATTAAAATATTTTTATATACAGATACTGAAAGACTATTTATAAGAAACGGGACGCATATACGAAAATAGAAGAATTACTCTTCCAAATCAGTCTAAGCCATTTATTTACCTTTAATTTAAATCTTTATGACATCTATGACCGCTCGTAATAAATATAAGCCAATACGAAGGTCTTAGATATTCCTTAAAAACAAATAAATTAACTTACCTATCCTTATACTATTAAACGTGCAATATTTATATATTTGTTTTTTTTTTTTTTTGCTTAAACGATTTCAATGAAATTTTTAGGGCGTTTACGGGGGCGAAAAATTATCTAGCTACGTCTCATACCTGTGTTTCATGAAAACAGAATTTACAACTTAAAATAAAACACACAAATTTATACACAAGAATATAAATAAAATTATGCAGTAAATCTGCAACATCTTTTTGAAATTAAACCAGTTCGCGTAAATATAAGAATTTCTAAAATGACTTTAAAGAATAATTATTGTCAATTAGTCGACTTGTAACAAGACCGCTAAAACTAAAATTGAAGAGCACCTCAGCAGAGACGTTGGGACTAACAAAATGATGCTTTTTACGAGGACATTAAATTCTTACTCACGTTTGACATAATTAACTACGCGTTAACTAACGTCTAGTGGAAGGATGTATTGGCATTTTCTAATTTCGTAGGTACCTAATGTGCGTGATGAGCAACAAGTACCTATCTTAACAAAACAAATAAAAAATTAAATAACATAATATTTTAGTGTTTTATGACTTGACTATTAATTATATTTAGTTTTAACTTTCGTCCGATTTTCGGAAGTACAAATTTTATTATACATATATATACACGTTTTGAGTTCCCTGGAATCCCGATTCGTTTGTTTTAGTGAACGTCATGTGAATTCAAATGATGACAACATCGACTCGCAACAATTTAAATCGACAGTTAATTGGATAATTAATACCTGATAAGCTTTACATTAAAATTGATTTTGTATTGTTTAAAATAAGTCACCAAATGTGAAGATAGTGAGAACTGTCCAAACGGCACCCACGACCTTTTTTGTATCTTACTTCTTTTGAATTTATTTTATACAACATGTAGCAAAAATATTGTGATTCCCGTTAAGTGCATTATCATAGTTTTAATTAGTTAAGAAAGAAAAAGAAATAAATACTAACATTAATTTAAAGTAAATATTATTATTCTACTAACATCTATATGGACAGTCTGAATAAATATTATTATTATTATTTGGGGTATCTATATAGTTTTCTCATCTAGTTGGGTTCTATAAATATATAATTATAAATGAAAATGAAATGATAAATATACACAAATATCAATAAAAGAAAATAAATACAAAAATAAATAAATAAATAAAAGCCCAACTAAATGGAAGCCCTCGGCAGGGGAGATCAAACGGCCGAGGGTTAGGGGGAAAGGGATAGAAACCGGTGGACGATGCGGGCGGTATCGAGGAGTACCGCCTTCTGCATTCGAGCCCAGAGCGGTCCGTCACGGAGTCCCAGTCGCCTCAAATGACCAGAAAGTCTGACGGGGACTAGCCTGTTAGCAGAGACGACTACAGGAATAATTTCGGTCGGCAGACTACCCCTCATGTCGGTCACCTCGTGAGCCAGGTCCATATATTTTGTTTGCTTATCTCATTCGGCTTTCACTTGGTTCTCGTCATATGGAATATGACGTATACTGATTCTAATAACGCACTTAATGGGAGCCACTGGGTTTTATCACATGTTGTGTATTATATGTATTTACTAGAGTTACTCAATTCCGAAGTGACAATAAAACTTTAATGGGGTAATTAAGTCTAGGAAAATATACCACAAATTTTTGATAGACAAATCAAAAGTTTTTAATTTTTAATTAAACAAAAACTGTTTAAAAAAGGTTGTGTTATAAAATGGTTGCTAAAACCTATAGGAATAAAGTGATCGCTACCAAATGTTTCCTAAATCACTTTTTTATAATTAAGTGTGTACAACACAACATACATTATAAACTACCTATAATTTAAAATAGTCCCGCTAAGTTTCTCGGTGGTTCTTCCCAGAACAGTTTTTACCACACCGATTATTTACAAGCTTACACAGGTACAAGTACATGTATTTTGATAATCTGTATTAATAAACGATCTATTCCAATATTCCAACCATTGTAAGAAATGCAGAAAGTCGACGGATGCAGGTGGCTCAGGACCGTGAGCGTGCTTAGCGGGATTCCTTGGGGGAGGCCTATGTTCAACAGTGAACTTGTGAAGGACTGTAATGATGACGATGATAACTCCAACTAGACGAGAAAACACACTACATATAGAAATGGAAAAAATCGAGTTTTCATTTATTCTTTGAGACTGAATATAGTGGACTGCGACATGACATGAGTCGTAAAAACGGCAAGACTTCTAATATGTACAGCAAGAGAATGCAGTATTATACAATAGCCGGACGTTCGACTGACCATTCACGTGACGGAAAGTTTAAAATCGTCTACGCTCGTCCTAACTTTGTTTATTTATAGAATAAGGGTGACAAACGAGTACACAGTCCACCTGATGGTAAGTGTATACCACAATATATGCCCACAGTATATGGCCACAGCCCATAGACATCAACATTTATCCTCTATTAAGAATCAAAATGCAGATGAGCACTAAAATGGAATGCTTCGTTTCCGGTTAAAAGGGTCTCCGGTTCTCTACACTCGCCATATGAAACACAGCAGCCGTAATCTGCTATTTTACGCTAATCTTTAATAAACAAATTTTAAACGCGTAATCCGTGAGAGCGTGGTCCTACCTAGGTCGAGCCGACCTATTCCAGCCACAACTAATATGGCTGCACCGTGGCTCTGCCACGTATAAAATTGATGTACAAGTATTATCCTAAATCATCTACTGCACAAGTAAAGTTTGTTCTCACGTTATACTTTTTTTTAAACTTTGAAGTGAACTAACCGAGAAACGTAAATGGCTATTACAACCTTAGAATAATTTAACATTTTAATTATTATTATTATACAATTTAACGAACACACAGTTCATCTAATGGTAAGTGGATGCGGTTTATCCTCGATTAAGAATCAAAATGTAGATGCGTTGCCACCCGTGAGGACTAAGATGGAATGCCTCGTTTTTAATAAAAAAGGGTCTCCGAATCTCTACATTCACCATACGAAACACAGCAGTATTAAGCTGCTATTTTACGCTGGTTTTCTATAAGAGCATGGTCCTTCCCTGGTCGAGCCGACCCATTCGTTCTACAGCCATAATATAGCTGCAGCGTGGCTTTACCATGTATAAATAATATCACTATTTGTCTTAGTCGAACTTGTATGAAATCCGGCTTCATTAAAAAAATTGTTTTTCCTCAATTACGAAGCAGCAATTAGTGAGAAGAAGCAAGTAGTATCATACCATTTTGTTTTTTGTTTTTTTAGAAGAAAACTCTGACCCGCCGATTAACAACCGCAACACCAGGGGAATTGCATTGCCGGCTTTTTAGAAAGAAGTAAGCTCTTTTCTTGAAGGTCCCTAAGTGGTATCGGTTCGGAAATTCGCCAGTGGTAAACAATTCCACTGAGAAGTTGTACGAGGAAAAAAACTCCTTATAAAACGCACAGTGGTGAACCGCCAAGCTTGCAGATGGTGAAGATGATATTGCGAATTTTTACGCGATGTGCGTTCTTGAAATTTAGCGGCTGTAACTAATCCGAACAATTCCTCAGAACACTCCCCATGGTAGATGCGATAGAAAACGCAAAGGGATGCAACATCCCTACGCAGCGCCAGTGAATCGAGCCGGTCAGGAAGAACTCGGTCGTCAACGATTCCAATCGCTCTGAGCTGGATTTTTTAAAAAAAATAAGGGTGACAAACGTGCACACAGTCCACCAGATGGTAAGTGGTTGCTGTGGCCCATAGACATCTACATCTATCCGCGATTAAGAATCAAAACGCAGATGCGTTGTTACCCCTGAGGACTAGGATGGTATGCCTCGTTTCCAGTAAAATAGGGTCTTCGGATCCGTATACTCATCATACGAAAAACAGCAGTATTAGGCTAGTATTTTACGCTGGTATTCTGTGAGAGCGTGGTCCTTCCCCGGTCGAGCTCACCCATTCGTGCTACAACTATACTACAAATTTAACTACAGCATGGCGCTACCACGTATAAAAGAAAAACGAGCACTCAGTCTATCTGATGGTGAGCGGATGCTGTGGCCTATAGTCATGTTACATTTATTCAAAATTAACAACACGCGGAGGCGTTGTCATCTCTGTCGACTATGCTTCGCTTACAGTAAAACGGGTCTCCGGTTCTCTACACTCACCACACGAAACACAGCAGCATTGAGGTGCTATTTTACGCTGTTATTTTGTGCGACCGCGGTCCTACCCCGGTCGACCTGATACATACGTGCTACAACCCTAATATAGCAGCAGCTTGGCTCTACTACGTAAGAAATTCTATAGTATAATTAGACTTACCTTCTTAAAGACGAACGGCTCGTCTCCGTAGACGGGGTTGATGGCGTTGTTGGGCACGACCCTGGTGCGGAACTTCTTGCGCACGGTGTCGGCGGGCAGGCCGAACATGTCCACCTCCACGTAGGTGCCGCAGCGCTTGTCCGTCAGCAGCTGCGCCGACAGCACCGTCACCGCCAGTGAGCCGGCGATGATACCGTCCACCGTACTCTCCGCGAACGGGTCCAGCCTGCGGTCCTGCCGGCACACTCTCCGTTCTACAACGCGCGCTCCATCTGCTGCCGGTCTAACTACATCCACTAGCCCATATCGTCCCGTAGGTGTCGATGAGGCGACAGAGGGAAATAAATCAGGAGATGGGCAGCATCATCTCCCTAATGACGACTAAAAATAAAAGACGCTTGCCAAAAAAAATATATCCGGGTTATATTTACAATTTTATTTTATTGCAATGTTATGTGGGTGGGGTGTTGTATTTGGAACTGATAGAATGTGGAAATTATAGTGTTTATGTTTAAAATTTCTATTTGTTTGTTATATTATGTGGGTTGAGAACTTATTTAATTATGTAATAGGATATAAGAGTGCATTTATTCGCCAACAAACTGTCTTTACAGTTTGGCGAATTTATAAAATTATGTTATGTTTTTTTCTGTAAATATCATTAAAAAATAAATAAAATAAAGCGTCGTAGCACTACGGCAAATATCCCCCTATGAAGCAATCTATGGAGTAGACCTATATTCGCCAGTGGACTTTAATAGGCTGTAAAGGTAACGGAGTGCCTAGCTCCTACGTCGCGGATTCTGGTTCCCAAACACAACTACATTTTTAAAGGGATTAAAGTTGATTATTTCTTTATATGTTGTTAAAACTCAAAAACATAACAAAAGTAGTTAATTTTAAAGTTCATAATTAAATTAATTTATATTTGTGATTAATAAAATTAACGTATTTAAACAGCGACTAGAAAGTTATCCATAACAAATTATAATTAAAACAATGCGAAAAGCGGTAGTAGCTCAGATGGTTAGTGCTCAATATAAATTTTACAGTACGCGAGTAAACTGAGTTCAATCCTCGCCGGCACCAATGAAATTGCTAAATGCAAGTGCTAATTTACCACGTGCTCGGCGGTGAAGGAAAACATTGTGAGGAAACCGGCATATCTGAATAATAAGAAAAAAAAATACTTCGAAGACATGTGAAGTTCGCCAACACGTACTTGGGCAGCGAGGCGGACACTTCCTTGCCCTAAAACCCTCTCAAAAATTAGGGAGGACCTGTGTCTAGCAATGGGACCTATGTAGGATGTAACTTTTAACTTTTTATAATCAAAAACATTATAGATTTCTACTCCATTGTGCCCTTGACCACGCGACGAAATATTAACATGTTTAATAGTAATTAATAGAATTAGGCGTTACTTTGCGGAAATACCTCGTTTATGACCCATATACATCTGCATAATTTAGTTACATTTGTCATTATTTTGATTTCAATACTTTTTGATGTAGTTTGTATTGAAATGTGCATCTTCTAGTAATATATTACTGGTGAACGCAAATTTAATATTCATAAAACTATAATTCTAAATGTAAAACGGTATTCATTGAAGGAATAAAGCTAATTTCCATTTCTCAATACTTAAATTTTTAACTATAAATATACCGGATGACCTTTTTTACCGTCTGGAAAAAAAATAGGGTGTAACATGTGAACGGATTACAAGCCAATGGCACTGATATTTTGCTAAAACTAAAAACAAAAATTTTGAATTTAATAAATAAATTAATAAAATTCTATCGAAATTCAAATCATATTCATTATCCACCCTGGCCTGTGACCCTGCGAAGTGACAAGGCCAAAGATGCCTACTAAATGTATTGTTTTATTTGCCATTCTTAACCCCTTAGCCCCTAAGCGGTCGAATTCGACCGCGCACACCCAGAGCACTTTAAACCATTAAAACTTATATTTAGAGACTACTTTTCTATATAGAAGTTTGACATTATAGAATCAATATGAAATTTTCCATCCTCTAGTGCATTAAAAAGTCAAGTTATCTTATGGATTATTATTTCGTACGCCATTTTCGCGTGAAAATTGTTGATTTTCGGATTTTTTCTGGTGCTTCATTAGTGTTTTAGTATAGTACTTCTTTATTATAAAATTGTAATGAAAGTTTTTGTGTGAATATAATTTATCTTTTTACGTAAATAATTTCGAGTAATATATATTGAAATAATTGTGATATTCATTCTGCCGACATTCGCTTGGTATGTTTTGTTTTTGTTATTAAAATACAATAGTCTTTTTGTATTGAAGTAAAACCTGACTTTTATATAGAGAATTTTGTATGGATTTTACAATGTCAAACTTTTATAGAAAAGTAGTCTTTAAATATAACTTTTAATGGTTTGCGGTTGCATGCGACCGCTCGAGATTTGTCGGGCGCATGCGACTGCATCGAATTTTTATGGGGATCGAAGGTTTAAAGTAGGATATGATTTAAATTTCGGTATATTTTAATTAATTTATTTATTTAATTCAAAATTTTTGTTTTTATTTTTAGTAAAATATCAGTGCCATTGGTTTGTAATCCGTTCACATGTTCACACCCTATTTTTTTACAGACAGTAAAAAAGATCACACAGGATAATTGAAGTTTTTCCAACACTGCTTTAATTATTTATTTGGAGAAGGCTACTCACCTTCCGCCGCATAAATTCCGGTTTTAATATGTAACCACACCGCCGATTGTACTCGAATGCGCCAAGATTGAGCTGCATCGCGAGATCCAGTGTCTGGAAGTTGAGCGCCACCAGCTGGCAACCCGCATTCCAGAATACCTGATGAATTAAAAATAATGTCACTTCGATGAAAATATCGATGACCGTTATGTACACATATATTAAAGGCAAAGACCGCTAAGTGGTCTCTCTATGGGATACCTAACTTAGTAAATCTTAGCTTTCCTAACTACTAAACTAATTGAGTCTAGTCCGGACCGCGCTAGTGAGCGGTCTCGTCCGCCGGTCGTCGACTCCCGCCCGGGTGGGAGAAGTACAGCGCGTCGCTTCGCAGTGGGTGCACGTGCTGTGGGGCCAACTCGGCTTGCGTAGAGCCTTGAGGACGCCCCTGACCCCACCCGGGATGAAGATTACCTAACGCTGCGTTTCACCTACACGCTGGGAAGCGAACTCCGAAGGCCCGGTGCGCCCTGGTGTGCGCGCGCCTGTTGGCGACTCCGGCTCCGCGTCGAGATGCTTCTCCGCGGAACCTGGAGGTTACTGACCCTTCGGCAGATTCCCTTCCCAGAGGCGCGAGACACGCCAACTTCTGCCTAGGGATACCAGGCCTTCAGCTAGAACCAGGAAGGAGCACTGGAGGCCCGGAGCAGCTGCTGTTGGAGCGCACTCCTGTTGGCAAGATTGGCCCTGCGTCGACTCCTTTCCTCGGGACTCCGCGGGGCTTTGAGACGGTCAACCCTCCGGAAGCACCGACCTGGTGGCGCGCAATACGCCAACATAGATTACCGACAATGTCGTACTTGTACGGCTCCCAAGACCGACTCATAGATATGAGCTTTGAGGATTACCCGGGTAATGTGGAACTCCCCGAGGCCCGATACCTGCAGGGGATAAATATAAGTAGTCCCATAGTAGATGACAATCAACTAAACTAATTAATCAAATGTAACTAATATATCTTTCGTTCATTGACTAGTCTATAAAATGAAGCAGCCATCCGATTTGTTCTTTGCTTGTTAGTACTTGTTTCGACATTAAAAGCCCAAACGCGAAAATTGTGCAGCTTTCGAAATTTGCTTTATATTTTGCGTATGTACTCGGAACGTGCACGCAAGTTAACAAAAGTACTGAAATAATATTCCACCTTTCGATATAATCAGAGGATATACTCTGCACTATACTATAATTCTGATCTGAACATGTGTGAGAATTTCTTGACAGAAAAACCTAAGTTTTATTTTCTGACCCTACCTGAGATTTGAACTGGGAACCTTATGAACAGAAAATCGCGCTTAACAACGAGGTAGACAAAATTTTATTTAATTATTTATGAGGTGGGATTGTAAAAAAGCACTGACTTATCCCACAACAATATCAAAGTTATAGAAATTAATTACTCTAACTTAGATTTACAAAACGCTTATTCAGTATTTCCTTGAAGGCATCTACGATGTAATAGTATGGAAAGAAAGACGCAAGTAAGTTATTTCATTCCTTTGCTATACGTTATATAAACGATAAAGAAAGCTATTTAGTTTTGATGTGTGGAATGTCGACAACAAAGTGGCGGTGGCCCGCCGAACTATGTTCGTTTGCATCGTTCAGCCACCTTGAATTGGCATTTGAGATATGCTATTCCAAAGTACTCGCCGCTATAAGTATTTGTACCGCTTTCTTTTTCAGTGTAACTCAGCCATGTCTTTGATCATGTTTTTTTATCATCATCATCATCATTACAGCCCCTCACAAGTCCATTGCTGAACATAGGCGTACCCCGTACATTGTCTTAAAGGGGGGATCCTGCCACAGTTGCTGCCCTAATTGCGGCTTAACAGGCGAGTTGGCAACCGCAGTTTTATTATAATTTTGAGTTGTTATCAAAGACATTTAAATAGGTAGTAGTAATAGACCGGACATCAGTAACAAAACTGTCGTCTGTAACATTTCTCCTATAGTATATATCTCCGATTTTCGTCATTTAGTCTCAATGACATCGTCAAAAGGTCAAGACGCATTCGTTTCATAATTTTAAAAAATATTTTTAAATAAAATATGCGCGGTTGTGCATTAAAGTATTGTAAGTCACGATATGGAGCAAAAAATGACAGTGGTTTCGGTTTATTGTCGTAAGAATAATCTGTATTTACCAAATAGTTTTTAAATTTTATTATTTCTAGTAGATTGTTCTAGAAGAAAGAAAACTTATTGTAATAAGTGCCCTCTGTTATCCAGTAACGTCACATTTATTTACAAATATGTTAGTGATTAACGATGTGCCTACAACGGATTTTTACCTTATGTTTAGTGGCGTCACCTACTGGGGAATAGCTAAAATGTTTTCTAAATAAATATTCAGTGTAGTATTGCTATATTTCGCTAGAGGGTGTAATACATGTGCGTGGTCACAGCTTTTGTATGCAAATGTTCCCAATGTCCGCTATATATATATGCTGCTCAGCTCCTATTTCAGTTTCCCTCGGCGCCACACACAGGACGATATGGCCTCCTGTCCACACCAATATATTGTTTGCTATTCCGAATTCATAATGTCTGTTACGGTATATAATGTATTTTATATTAAATTTTTAACCGTGCCAAGTGTTAGGCTGACGCGGCCATCTTTGGTAGCATATTGTCCAAAAAAGCAGTGACATTGAAAGGAAAGCGGTACAAATATTACTAGAGGCGAGTGTATACGATATATATGATAATAGTTCTATCGCCTAATTACCAAAGATATTTTCATTCACCAATTCTAGGTCTAAGAAAAGATATTTCCAATCTATAGTCTCCCTTTATTCGCGTGCTTAATAATTAAAAAAGTTAGGTAGGTATGTTTAAATTTTAAAAATAAATACCCAGGGATTATTTTCCTTTACATAGTAAATAGTAATTTTATAATTTTTAAATTAATTTTATTGACTTATAAAGCTACGAGAATTATTTGAGAATCATTTGCTAAAATTGAAAGTTTTTATGTAATTATATTCAAAAATTGACTACTTCGTAAGCAAAATAAAACTTTTCACTGTATTTTCAATCAAAGAACCTGTTCTTGAGAACTTAAAAAAACTTATTTAAATTAAAAACAACACGAGTTGAGATACAACGAAAACTACCTACCAAATCATAATTATAAAACAACTTATTAACGAAAGGCTCAACTACTGAATTTACCTGAGGCATAAAATTTGAAGAATCGAAGCGCGTACCCGCCGGATAGACTCGAGAGAGCTGGTGTTTGTTGTAGTTGACAAACTCTATGGGCCGTTCCTTCAGCAGTGTGGTGGCCTGCTTCTCGTCGAACGAGGACATCTCGTAGAAGCGATTCTTCTCTGCATATATTGATTTAGACTGATGAAAGAGTAAAATGTAACCAGCTAACATAGGAATTCCGAAAATCTCTTCTTATGTTGCGTTGGTCTATTTTAATATTTTTTTATTAAACCGTAGACCGTGCTTTGTGGCATTCCTTGGGGGAGGCTTAAGTTCAGCAGTGGACTTGTCGAAGGCTGTAATAATAATGATGTTGATGATGATGATAATGATTGTAAAATAATTAAGTGATTTATAGATAAAATACGTAAAGCCCATTACTTTTAGTTATGAGCCTTGCTTCGTGCCATTCCTTCGGGGCAAAATAAGTCAGCAGTGGACTTGTGAAGGGCTGTAATGATGATGATGGTGGTTTTAAAATAATTAAGTGATTTTTAGATAATATATGTAAAGCTTATGGGCTTTTAGTTATGAGTGTTAGTATCTATGGCATGATATACTGTAATTTAGAACATGGTTTGTAATGGTATTTCCAATACCTGTCTGTAAAAAGTTAAAAAAGTGTAAAAGTTAAGCATTATTATTATTTATATATACCTTAGTAGACTTTAGATATCTATGAACAAAAAAAGGTGGCAACATAAACGATTCTCTTGGGTTCTATTACACGGCGAAGTAGCATAAACTACATAATTTCTTATAAATAGGACTAAAATTGACGAAAGTGGCAGCGCGGCCCGTACAACACGTGTGCGTGTGCGTGTGTGTGTGTGTGTGTGTGTGTGTGTGTGTGTTGTGTGTGCGTGCGCGCGTGCGTGTGTGTGTGTGTGTGTGTGTGTGTGTGTGTCTGTGTGTGTCTGTGTATCTCTCTCTCTCTCTCTCTCTCTCTCTCTCTCTCACTCATCTCTCTCTTGTGTGTGTGTGTGTGTGTGCATGCATGCGTGCGTGCGTGCGTGTGTGTGTCCGTGTTCGTGTGTGTGTGTGTGTGTGTGTGTGTGTGTGTGTGTGTGTGTGTGTTTGTGTACGTGTGTGTGTGTGTGTGTACGTGTGTGTGTGTGTGTGTGTGTGTGTACGTGTGTGTGTGTATGCATGTACATGTGCGTACTGCGTATACGTGTGTATGTACCTGCTCAGTCTTGGCAGTATGCGTGTAACCCTTTTTATGGTATCTGTGTATTTGTGCACTAGCGTGTAGACACATACATACACAGATGTACATATATTATATTTTAGTACAGTGTGTGCGCATCGTTGTGTGTGTGTTTACTCACTCATATGAGTCAGCGTACGTACGTGAGCTCACTATTGAGCGACAGTGTTTGTCAGTGTTTGTGTTTTATTCACAGTGTTGAGTGAGTGTGTGTATGTACTCACTCTCGGCATTCTCGAAGGAGCTAAAGTGCACGGGCTGCACGTAATTGACGAGCGCGGATATCTCGGCGGCCGCGTGCGTCTCCGGCGCGACGCCGGGCGCCCCGACGCCGGCGCCCTCCCCGGGGACATCACCTTCCTCCTCGCCCGACGAGGACTCGGATTCCGAAGATTCGGACGACTCCTTTGAACCCTGTCGTGTAAGCTGAAATAAATGCTAAGTCACGACCAGCGTACAGCGTCACCAACTTATCTGTAGTATTGCATAACATTGATTCAGCCTATAAAAAATCTACAGGCCTCCTTCATAGATTGCCCAGTTTGCCCGATATTGGTTATAGTTTGCCATGTTTCACAATCGGGATGACATGATTTTTATTATTTTAAGTTGTTGTCAGGAAGATGCAGCAACCCATTTCCTGTTTGATTCCATGTGTCGCCACCTACTACACATACGGGATGATATGTGGTATAGTCTGTTTCTAGAGCAGGCGGAAAAACAGTCAACGATATCTATCCAATTCAAGGTTATCAGTATCTTACAAAATATATTTCCAACAAGAATAACCAAAAAGACCAATTTTTTTTTTTGGTTGTATGCCAATTAAAAACAGACCATGTAATATCTCATAAAGTAATACTGCAAACGTCATAGATTTAGTATAAACTGATATTTGAATACATTGGCAATGCAAAAGAGGATGATCACAGTGTACGCTTATGTTTAAGGCGAGAAAGATAGGCTAGATCATTCACGTACACTCTATCGGCCGCTATCGGCCTGGCGCCATTCGTGAACAAAACACTGTCTTGTATTTGCAAAATCTCAGGTTTTAAAGTGAAAATAAGTGTTTATATGACATAATTATGACGAGGTGCGTATTACCTAAATATAACTCACCTCAGAAAGAAATCCTACATTATTATAAATTTAACCCCTAAGAACATTTGAAATGTTTAACTGTCTTAATGCTGTGTTTTAGAGCAGGTACGAACAATTGTACTTAAATGTGTAGGAAAAATTATCTCATTTTATAATAATAATCATCAGAATGCAAAGCAATCGAATTTAAAATAATTACAAATACGTAAAATATTGCTAATTTTAACCCCTTTCGGATACATTGACATTATCGATAATATCTTATCGACATGTCCTTAACAGACAAAGGTGCACCTTGCATTCAGCCTCATTCAACTTAATAATATTTTTTATATTTTATTTTAAACGTTCCATAGCTAAATATTTTTCTAATCGTATGAAAAAATTATTTTTGTAATAAAATTAGGGCGACAAAAGAGCACACAATCCACCTGATGATAAGTGGATGCTGTAGCAGATTTTCACAAAACATTGATGTTGAATATAATAAATAGAGATGAATAGGAATTTTCTATCTCAGTTTGGTTAGTTATTAACTTTTAATTTATACACACATCGTAACACATATTTTTTAAGAACAGCGTTTCTTTCAGTGACTATATGAACAATTTTTGAAGTTTAGGTATGAACTAAGTGATAAGACTTCATTTTTGTCTGGGTGGTCGTCTGGGTTAGTTATCACCCTCTTGCCTGGTACCGTTATAAATACTTGGACTGTATTTCTATTGTACTTAGGCTGTAAGAAATTCCATCTAAGTCCGTAGAGGCGACAACGACCTTCTGTGTTAGAAGTTAGCTGCTAGTTTCGATAGGTGCAGTAACCGCTTACCATTGTCTGAGGGACTGTTATACCCGTATTTATAAAGAAGTAATTACTTGTTGCTAAGTAATTTCTTAGTTAAGTCATTACTTAAGGTTAGAATTCTTAATTACAAAATCTCATTCTATAGTTGAGTAACACACGTTACTTACTTGAGCAAATAACCAAGTAACACTCTACGCTTGGTGGTTGTTTCTATGTTCATAAACATCGTTCTTCATTATTATGACCGATGTTTTGGCTTACTTTCAAAGGTTTCGAAATAACCAACAATTCGAAGGCATAAAGATGTTAAAACTTACGAACGACGATTAACACGAATTATATGGCGCCGAAAATATTCGTAAAAAATGTCGAAGTTAGATAACGTCTAAACTTTTAAAGTAAGAAGGTTTACTTAGCAGAAATAACATAATCCCGAAAAATTTAATCACGAACCAGCAAACAGACGAACGGTTTTTCAGCCGTAAATAATTAGAAAGAATTAGAAGAATTTCCAAAGTGAAATTGTCTTCAATCGGTAATTTCATTTTCGAAGTATAATTGTTGTTAATTTTATTTTGATAATTAATAAATATAAGTTTACAAATATTGAAAATGGATTGAAATTGTTCCATTAATTTTTTATTAATAATTATGCTGTTTCAGCTTTACCTTGATCAATAGCTTAAGAACAATCTTATAAATTAATAGTTATTTTCTAACGGAATTTGTTTTATCGGCTTACGGTACTTCGTATTTCCTTACAAATGTTACAATCACTTTTCTGAAATATTGATATTGACGAACGAACGGTTATACGCCTATTTGTATTTCGGCGTAGTATAGTTTCGTAGATGTATTCAGAAAAGGCTATAATTCTGAAGGTGACATATGGAACTACCATAAAGAATTAATGCACCACAACATAAATAAAACTAAAGAGAAAACTAAAGCAGAAAAAGAGTTACATATATTCATGTAATCACCTGTCACTCCTATAAATGGAGACGCGTTGGAGATGTGAGATGACATGAAAGGGTTGTCACCCGGGCCTTCTTAGCCTAGCTAAGATCTATTTGCCTATCGTGGCAACTTCGGTACCCCGTGAGCGCTTACTAGGCGCCAGGTTGTCAACATCGTTATTTTAAAATTCAACTCTAAAGAAATAAACGTAAAAGTAAAAAAATGTTTAATTAATTCTTGTGTTCTGTTAAAAATAATAATTATTCGATAAAATTAAATGTGTAAATATAATGTTTAATTATTATACTTATTTGTTTAATTTCTGTTCAAATGATTATTTATTATATATTTGAAAAAAAAATTCAAATTCTATCTCCTCTAATATAATATTATCACCTATATTGTCTACAACAGCAAAAATCGTTCAAATGCTATCCAAAGTTTCCATTTTTTTATCCAAAATAACCTCAAAGTAGTGCTTAAGTAAAGGAAATGGTGACTATTACTTGGCTGAGTATTCTAACTTTTGACAGGTTCTAACTTGGAGCATTTACTTAAATATCGAATACAAATCGTTACTTAAGTAATTCCTTTTACTCAAGTAATTACTTTTACTTCTTTATAAATACGGGTGTTAGTTCGTTGATTACTTAAGTTTTATAAAAAAAACTTTAAATAATAAATACTAATATAGTTAACATTTTTGTAACATGTATTGCTAGAATATCGATAATTTTCTGAATTAAACCTTTTGTTGGATACCCAGACACGATATTTCAATATTTATATATTTAATTTTTGGGAGTACTTACATGTCCACAATAAGCCTTCATGTTAGTTTTTACGTGATTTCATGCCAAAAATCCGCGAAGACACAATGCTGCTAAAGATAGTAAAGATAGGTAGTTTTGAAGATCTGAGGTAACAAATGAACCCTATTCATATTCATTCCTCATTCCAACCCTATTCATATTTATACCCTTCTAAAATTGTAACCATCCTATTGGCCTCGCCTTACTTTGGAAAAATATTCACTAACATTAACTGCGTCAAATCACAAGACTCGTATACACTGCAATCGGTATCGATAATTGAAGTTGAGACAGGCAACGCATGGTGCAGCACTATTTGTCACCCACACATGCACATTACACCCACACTGGTGTATTTTAATTTTGGTCTTGTCCTAATCAATCCAACGCCCATCTAGTGTACACTATATCTATGGTAAACGTTATTTACAGTAAAAATTATCGTCTACGGAATTATAAGAAAATCCAACTTACCTTCCCCTCACACACATGATACACACATGTCACATGACAGGTACATTTGCCCTAAATACTGGCCTACAAAGCATTTATGGTTTAAATAAAAATATTAAATTAAGCAAGATAAACCTAAAAACCACGATGTAAAATACATGTATATAAAAAGGCCACAGCTAAAAAAAAATAAAAAAAAAATACCGGTCCATGCGCAATTTCGCCGTTTCCTTGCGAGGGTGCTTGTTCACGTGCCTCAACGTCTTCCGATCCTACAGAGCCTTCCTTCTTATGGTGGTGGTGATGCTTTTTCTTGTTCTTAATAATTATCTTATGGCGAAGCAGTGATGGTGGCGGCAGTTCTCCTCCTGTGGACAGTAAGGCCTATGATTTATAATTCCTATCGTTTTATCAGACTTTATAACCTGAAACGGCGTCTTGTCCTTCATCTCACGCCCGCAGCAGAGATCAATTAATTACTAGCCCCCTTGCCTATACCCCCACCTCATTGGGTTCGGGAATCAATGCGGTGGGCGTGACCCCTGATAATACGTTCAACTTAGAACCTTAACCGCCGTCTCAAAAGAAAATGGTTGACAACTAAGTTTACGGGTCCCAAAGAATGGTACCGGTCCTGACGTCAGTCATGTACTTAGTGGGATACATTATAAAAACAATTTAAACATTCACCTTATAAAAAGAATTAATAGAATATTAAACGAAATATTACAATTTTACAATAAATTTCGTTCAATCATAAACCTCAAAATTTTGAATATAAACTTCACCATGCAATTTTCATTAGATACTAATTTTACATATCTTATACAATGCAATAGTTTAATACAAAAATTAAAACCTTAAAGCAAAATGAAAATTAAATTAAAATTAAATTATATTGTTTATTTTTCTCATTACTTCGCTATTTTATTACCAAAATTAAAATTTATTGACAGTTTTACTATTGGAACATTATACATTAATCTATCCACATAAATAAATTGCTATTACATGCATTTTAAAACTTTAATAAAAAATATTATTGTAATTAATATTCTTAAACGGTTCGGACTTGCGTTTTTCCTTTCTGTTAATTGCCTACACTAGTTTACAAACTCAATTTTACACGACCCTCGTGTTCCAAATAGGAGGCCTTGTCATTCCTCTAATATTTATACTTATCCCGGTGGACATATACGACATTTCATTCTAGCATTAAACTGCCCTTATCTTATCTATCACTGATATGTCTTATCAGTGCTTAGAACATTTTAAAACATAATAATTATTAATACTTATTTCACCCATGACTCTAAGTTAATACGTCTTTACCTTTCTCACAATTTAGCATTTTATAAAATTAGCATAAAATTAAGATTTATTTTAAGAAACAATGACTGATTTGGTGAGATGTTTATCTCGCGTCGCCGACATAACCACATCGATGATCTTTGATGTTCGAAAGTACTGATAGCGCTATTAAGTTATTTAAAGTTTTAAGTTTTAACAAAACTAGTACACATAGCAGCTTTAATGCCTAAAGGCATTCTCTTCTAGGCAACCATTAGGCTAAGCAGAGTTAATCATATAGGACTTTTGTAATAGGAGCTGATTCCTGACAAGGCTACATCGATTTATCGCATGGACTTATATTCGAGTAAATCCGAATTTTATGTACTTAAATTTTATGTATATAAATAATTTATCAGGTTTCATTTTTACTGTCATAGTAGTTTTCAAGTCACTTACTATTGAACGTAACTAATCAAGAGTTTTTAAAACTAGTTTTAATCAATGTGTAGTGTTCGCGTAAATATAAGAAATCATTAAGAGTTTTTAATTTTAACTATAAGATTTAGTCAATGACTAAAATCGGAAAGTAATTAAAATTGTTTATAATTTTTGTAAATATAGAAATAATTTTAAAATAAATAAGAAAGGGAATAAAGATCTTAGATAATATTACATTTTTACCGAACAAATAACTTCATTCTATCATACTCAATGAATAATAATTCCGATAGCAATATCCGTTCAGATTCTTTGAACCCGTCCCTACAAAATATTTCCGGATATCGAACATAAAACACATTTTCAGTCGAATATTCTCGAGAATCGTGTTTGAAATTGAAATGGATCATATATATTGCACTCGTAGCGGAAGCAGAGTAGTAACTATTTTTTATTTGATTATATGGATATGCTGACATATTGTAAGTTTTCATTTGCGTTCATTTAAATAAATGCTCAATCGCTCTCTATTCAATCCGCGTTGTTCAGCTAGTATGCCTGTTTACAATGTATATATTTAACAAGCATCGTTAAAAACAACACACAAAATGTGACTTCTTCGATACCAAACTACGTTCGTAACGAGCACTTTTATTGTATTTGTTAATTATTCAAGTTCGAATAAAACAGCACGGCTGAAATCGTTAACGCATCACGCGGTTTATGTGACATTTAGAATGTCAATAAAAACGCGTAAAAATACTGCGAGGAGACGATTCGGGCGCAGTTTGACAATGTAACGCCGAGCTATATTGAAGCAACAAACGTAGAGTTTTGTCTATCTTAAATGAACTGTCCCGCGTGTTCACCTTTAATAATAAAAAAAATGTGAGCATAAAAAGTTATTAAAAGGACGAAGGCGCAAGAAATCGAGATTACCTAAAACTCTATACAGGATTATTTTTCAAAGAGTAGCCAAATTTTAAACTTAAGTTCAAATAATATAAATAATAGTATAATATTGTTATGGCAGTTTTTGAAAATATGAGTAAATAAGGCTTCTCCTTTAATTGATTTATGAGCACCAACGTTTCTGTCTACCCATCGACCCTTACGAATGTGTGCGTGTGCAGTAAAAATCAGTTAAATTAAAGCATTACCACGCATTTTGAATTCAAAAAATAAAAAGGACCAAATATTTGAGATTTTTAATAATTTTTCTTCACCATTTACCTATATTACCTATTCTGAACCTTGTTTACAAATTTGGCCGATTATTGCAAAATCACTCTGTATAAAAATGTTGCAAAACAGTTGTTGGAATATTTCAAACATGTTCGTAACAATTTTACATGATTTTAAAACACTGAACGAAAAAAAAACATTGAAGCAACCCTAGCTTTGAAAATGACCCAACGCAAATTGTGCTGCGGTAATAGTGACTTATCAAATGCGCAGTGAACAATTGTAAAGTAAAAGTAAAGTAAAATATACTTTATTGTACACCAAGGAACATATTACATTATTTATATATTTAAAGGGACATTGGTACAACAGGCGGCCTTATCGCTAAAACAGCGATCTCTTCCAGGCAACCTTAGGGCAGAGGATACTATTTTAAAAGATAGCGGAAGGGGTGTACAGAATATGATAAAGAAAGATAAATAGAAGAACATAAATGATTAAAGAAGAAAAAAAAATGAATGACGACAGGTAGTAACTTAAGAGGAAAGGTAATAAAGTTTTAATTTATTTTTAAATATAGGAAGAGATTTAGATTTTTTAATATGTAAGGGGAGAGAATTCCATAGTCGTATAGCGGTAACCGTAAAAGAATTAGAATAGAAGGAAGAGGAATGACTAGGGGTACTTAGAAGGAGGTTATTTTGAGATCGTAGAGGTAAAGAGTGTAAACTACTTAAATATATAAATCGGTCTTTCAAATAAGAAGGAGTGGTCGGGTTGAACAGAATGCAGTAAAGAAGATGAAGAATGTGAGTATTCCTGCGAAGACGAATCGGGAGCCACTTGAGCTTATGGCGGAATTCGGATATGTGGTCATACTTTCGTAACCCAAATATAAACCTTATGCAATAATTTTGAAGCCGCTCAAGTTTATTAAGTTGCTCGTATGTTAGGTCAAGATAACAAGTGTCCGCGTAGTCAAGGATCGGTAAAAGAAGAGACTGAGCCAGCGCAACTTTAGTAGGAATGGGGAGAACATTGCGTAATCTTCGAAGTGAACCAACTGCGGCAAACATTTTTTTACTTATTTCACTAACTTGCGGTCCCCAAGACAAAGTCTGATCGAACATAATACCTAAATTCTTAACTTTGTCACTGTATGGGATAAGTGTTCCATCGAATATGATTGGCGGGAGCAGCGACAAAGTTAACCGAGAGATTAATTTCGAACTCCCAATAATAATGGCTTGAGTCTTCAATGGATTAACTTTAAGCCCAAATGAATTACACCAAAGAGAAATACGAATAAGATCTTCATTAATTAATCTAATTGTATTGGGGGATCCGCAATCTTACATTGGGAGTAGATTTGTAAATCGTCTGCATATAGGTGGTAAAGAGAAGTTATATGGGAACAGATCGAATTGATGAAGATAGAGAACAATAGAGGAGACAACACGCCACCTTGTGGGACGCCAGCTTTGACAGCAGACCAGTCAGAAAACGTGTCTTGAATTTGTACACGTTGCCGGCGCCCATGCAAGTAACTATGAAACCAACCAATTACTTCAGGAGATATGTTAAGAGAACTTAGGACAGCGAGTAAAACATCAAAGTCTACAGTATTGAAGGCATTACTAAAGTCAAGCAATGTCAATACTGTAACCTGCTGACTATCCATGCCCAGGCGAATATCATCAGTGATTCTAACCAAAGCCGTAGTCGTACTATGACCGGGACGGAATCCAGATTGGAATGAATTCAAAAGGTTATGATTGGACAGGAATTTGCTCAGCTGTTGGTATATTAGGCGCTCGAGTACTTTAGAGAGAAAGGAAAGGATGGATATAGGACGGTAATCCTCATATGTCGGATTAGATTTTTTAGGGAGTGGAGTTACTAGGCCGTCTTTCCAGGATGAAGGAAAAACACTGGTGTCAAGGGAACGGTTTAAAATAAGTGTAAGTATAGGAGCTAAAAGATCGAGTATTGGGATAATCATCTTACGACTAATGCTGTCAGAACCAACTGCGTCGGAAGTAATGGCTAATATATTCTTCTTAACATCACTGACAGTAACTTGGCTAAAGACAAAAGAGGATAAATTGGGAGTTGATATAGCAGAAAGTTGAGCAAGTGTATTTTTCTTCGTAGCACTGTCTATAGTGGCGCTAGAGAGGAAACGAGCATTAAGCTTATTTAAATTCAAATTAAGAGATTCTACATTACGCTTTACTTTTCCAACCCCTAAAGATTTGAGAAAGTTCCAAACTTTAGTTGAGTTATCTTCCTCAACAACAGATTTATGGATATGGCGTCGTTGACTATCTCTACACACCATATTGCAGCGATTTCGTGCCCTGTTATATTTCTCTCGGTTAGAATCATTAGGATTCATACGATATTTAGATTTCGCTATGTTCTTTTTTTCTTGAAGTTTTTTTATATCGGC